CCCCCCCCCGCCGGCATCTCCTCACCACTGTCTGCCCAGCCGACTTGTCTACCAGTCGGGCTGCCTGAAGCTTCTTGAGGGCCTGCTCTGAGAGCATCCATCCCACTCCTGTAACTTTGGTCCAAACGGTATCCTCTCCCTTGTAAAACTGATCAAGTGTCTGGAAAAGTACTGGCTGTTTTGCCACTGTCGAGTACCAATCTGCTCTCCTCTTGCCTGTTTCCTTGGGCAGGAGTTGCAAGTTTGGACTATGCTGCTTGTCAACTTTAGGGCTTTGCCAGTGATTCAGTGAGGGAGAAGGGATCTATTGCAACTGTTTCCACTCTTCACTGCTGTCACTCAGGGGTGGGACAAGTGACTCCTTCTGTGCAAGCAGCCACAATCTGGATTGAGGTGCACAGAGATGGTATTCACATGGCTTGTCCCCGTGCCGCATGCTGCTAAAACCACCCTTCCCTAACCTCCTTTCTGCTCATCATATCAGCACAGAAATGCCGACCCAGCAGCAACCCTGCCAGTCCACCCCTCCCCCCCCGCAGCCCAATAACTCCACTTCAAAACAAAAGCTGAACTGTGGCTCAAAGCTCAACCTCAGGTGAGTCCTTTTTAAAAAGCCTTCTTAAAGGGCTAAAAGAGGGAGATGCCAGCACTGAGCACTGCCATTTTGAAGATGGAACCGCATGGCTTCTTCTCTCCCTAGTCCTCAAGAAATGTCTGATTTCATTAAAAAGTTTTTAGGGAAGCTCCGAGAAAATTCGAAAATCCTTTCTCTAGACTTTATGCCCCGTCCCTTGCTCCCCCCCCCCCACCCACTCTGTTGCAATTTATAAAGTATGTTCCATGAGCAAAGACTTCTGTAAAGCACTCTGGACGCAGATAGTGTTACAATCACTACCAATCTGGGCCCAACTGAAAAGTTTTATGACCCATGAAAAAAATGGACTATTCTGTTTCAGTACCCATTGTGGGGGGCCTGTAAAACAGTGCAGAGTGAGGGCAAGAAGCCTTGCCCTTATTCTGGGTTGGCTTCATGATCTCAGATCTGACTGGCTATGTGGCACCATGATGTCATCATCTTGAGCAAGTGATCCTTGACTGACTTAATAATAGCCAGGGAAAAAAGAACTGTCTGGTTTTTATTTTTATCACTAACCAAAGGTGGGTGTGCTCAGTGCCGTCAAGTCACTTCCGAAGGAGGAGGAGTGAAATGGGGAGAAAAATGGAAGATTTGGGGCAGGCTTTTTGAAAACATTTCCATTCCCCTGGAAACTCCCTTTTTTCTGGACCAAGAATGTTTCCCCATGGCATGTCAGGATGAAGAAAGAACAGCAGCAACACAATGCTGATTGTACACATGCTTTCTTCAGACAATCAACCTGTCAGTCATGGATACATACATATTCCTTACCAGGACCCATGGTGTATCAATCAATGCCAAGGTAGCACCATATGAGGAACATATTGTTTCACTGATGTTCCAATCCCCTTCAGTTTCAGATTTATAGTAGCATTTTCCATGGTACCCAATCCAGCGGTCTGGGCAGGCAGCGTCAGCAAGAGGAGGACATGGTGAACAAGGCTGTGTTTTTCGAGCTGGAAGTGAAACAGAACACTCAGATTTCAGACAGTACACGAAGTCCTTTCTACCATCTGGCCATTGGTCCATCTAGCTCAACAGTTTGATTGGCTGTGGCTGTCCACGGGCTCAGGAACAGATTTTCTCAGCACCTAAAACCTGACGTTAGTTGGAGATGCCAAGGCCGTGACTCAGAGGCAAAGCATCTGCTTGGCATGTAGAAGGTCCCAGGTTCAACAGCATCTCCAGTTAAAAGGATCTGGCATTAGGTGATGGGAAAGACCTCCACCTGAGACCCTAGAGAGCTGCTACCAATCCGAGTAGACAATACAGGCCTTGATGGGCCAAGGGTCGGATTCAGATTAAGGCAGTTTCATGTGTATTCATGCGTGGGATTGAACCCGGGGCCTTAAACTTGCAAAGCCTGTGTTCTGTCACTAATTTCCTGCCCAGGAACAGGAAGTTAGGTTCCTCCTCAGTATTCAGATTCTTAACCAAGGTCTAATCCTGGTTAAGAATTCCCATTACAGAGAAAGAAGCTGACCTGAATTTGTTCAGTTACCTGCATTCAGACATTATACGACACTGAGTGAGCTGATGAGTAACTTCTGTCTTCCAGTAGTATGTCATGACAGACAGTGGGTGCGTTCAGACGGGGCGTTTCAGCCAGCATAAACTGTACCGGTTGGAACTGTTGCAGTTTATGCCGGCTGAAATGCGATCACACTTACCTCCTGTCTGCGGAGCCCATCGCTGTATGCCCATTTACACACAGCGGGTGTCGGTGGTTTGTTGTTGTTTTTTTAACTTAGTTTGTGCATGCGCATAGGCAGCCATCCACAGAATGGTGATCTTCGTGCATGCGCAAAACACCCCGTCCAGAAAAGCATGCCCTGAAGAGAGGACTTACCTTTAAAGTTTAAAGAGCAAACTGGCCTCCCTGAGGTCACGGACTCCTCTAAAACCTTAAACTAAGGACCTTTTCTTTCTTTTTTTTAAACAAACGCCGGGGCAAAGCTTTGCCCAAGCACATATCGCCGACCTAAAAAAAAAAAAGGCGGGTTAAAAATCGGAAGCCTCGGGCTTCTGAACGGAAGTGGCTCTACAACGGTGGAGAGAATCAGACGGGGGGGGGGGGGTAAAGCAATTACAACCATTGCACTCAGGATACCACCACTTGGGGACCTAGTGGCAGAATACCACGGTTTAAAGCTCTTTGCAACGGTTAGGGACGGAAGGCAGATGTTCGCCGTGTGAACGCTGGTAAGTACACCGATTCCAACCGGCACCTATACCGTTGTAAATGCCCCGTCTGAACGCACCCAGTGTGGACCAGGATCTGGAAAACCATGGCTCACATCCCTTCTTAGCCTCACTGGGTGACCTTGCACCAGTCACTCTCCCTCAGCCTAACTAACCTCAACAGCTATTGTGAGGGGGGAAATGAGGAATGGAGAGCCACACAGGCCACCTTGAGCAATTTGAAGGACAGAATAACAATCCAATAGATAGGAGTTTACAAAGAAGAGAAAGTTGCACAAGCTAACATGTTTTGTGCCTTTCTTTCCCCCCCTCCCTTCCGTTTCGTGCTCTGAAGCCCTTATCTCACCAAAGGCGGCTGCTTCCAACTGATAATTTGTGGGTTTCAGCGTAAGAGGAATTTAAACGGAACATGAGAGGAGAAATAACCTATCTGCAGTGAAAACAGTTTCTCTGTTCCTCTTGTTGTTGTTGTTCAGTCGCACAGTCGAGTCCGACTCTTCGCGACCCCATGGACAAGATCATGCCAGGTCTTCCTGTCTTCCGCCGTCCTCTGAAGTTGGCTCAATTTCATGTTCGTTGCATCTATGACACTGTCTAACCATCTCATCCTTTGCCGTCCCCGTCTTCTTTGACCTTCAATCTTTCCCAGCATCAGGGTCTTCTCCAGTGAGTGCTCCCTTCTCATTTGGTGGCCAAAGTATTTGAGCTTCAGTTTCATTATCTGGCCTTCCAGGGAACAGTCGGGGTTGATTTCTTTTAGGATTGACTGATTTGTTCTTCTTGCAGTCCAATGGACTCTCAAGAGTCTTCTCCAGCACCGTAGTTCAAAATAATCTATTCTTCAGCGCTCGGTCTTCCTTACAGTCCAACTCTCGCAGCCATACATGACTACTGGGAATACCATTGCTTTGACCATGCGGACTTGTGTTGGCAGGGTGATGTCTCTACTTTTTATCATGCTGTTTAGGTTTGCCATCGCTTTCCTCCCCCGGAGCAGGCGTCTTTTAATTTCATGGCTGCTGTCACAGTCTGTGGTGATCTGGGATCCCAGGAACGTGAAGTCTGTCACTACTTCCACGACTTCCCCTTCTATTTGCCAAGGAGTGATGGGGCCGGATGCCATGATCTTAGTGTTTTTGATGTTGAGCTTCAAGCCCACTTTTGCGCTCTCCTCTTTTACCCTGAGCAAGAGACTCTTAAGGTCCTCTTCACTTTCTGCCATTTTGCGCTCTCCTCTTTTACCCTGAGCAAGAGGCTCTTTAGGTCCTCTTCACTTTCTGCCATTAGAGTGGTATCGTCTGCATATCTGAGGTTGTTGATCTTTTCCCCAGCAATCTTAATTCCCGCTTGTGATTCATCCAGGCCAGCATTTCGCATGATGTACTCTGCATATATATTAAATAAGCAAGGTGACAGTATACATCCTTGTCGTACTCCTTTTCCTATGCTGAACCAATCAGTTGTTCCGTATCCGGTTCTAACTGTCGCTTCTTGGCCCTTATACAGGTTTCTCAAGAGACATGTGAGGTGGTCTGGTACTCCCATCTCTTTAAGGACCTGCCATAGTTTGTTGTGATCCACACAGTCAAAGGCTTTAGCATAGTCAATGAAGCAGAAGTAGATGTTTTTCTGGTACTCTCTTGCTTTCTCCATAATCCAGCGAATGTTGGCAATTTGATCTCTAGTTCCTCTACCTCTTCGAAACCCAGCTTGTACTTCTGGCAGTTCTCTATCCATGTACTGTTGAAGCCTAGCTTGTAGGATCTTGAGCATGACCTTGCTAGTGTGTGATATGAGTGCAATTGTGCGATAGTTTGAACATTCTTTGGCATTGCCCTTCTTTGGGATTGGAATGTATACTGACCTTTTCCAATCCTGTGGCCACTGTTGCGTTTTCCAAATTTGCTGGCAAATTGAGTGCAGCACTTTAACAGCATCATCTTCTAAGACTTTGAATAGCTCAGCTGGAATACCATCACCTCCACTAGCTTTGATGTTAGTAATGCTTTCTAAGGCCCATTTAACTTCACATTCCAGGATGTCTGGCTCGAGGTCAGTGATTATACCTTTGTGGTTGTCAAGGACATCGAGGTCTTTCTTGTATAGTTCTTCTGTGTATTCTTTCCATCTTCTCCTAATTTCTTCTGCTTCTGTTAGGTCCCTACCGTTTTTGTCCTTTATCACTTTGCATGGAACGCTCCCTTGATTTCTCCAATTTTCTTGAAGAAATCTCTAGTCCTTCCCATTCTATTGTTTTCTTCTATTACTTTGCACTGTTCATTCAGGAAGGCCTCCTTATCTCTCCTTGCTGTTTCTGGAAATCTGCATTCAGTTGGGTAAATCTTTCCTTTTTGCCTTTGCCTTTCGTTTTCCTTCTTTCCTCTGCTATTTGTAAAGCCTCATCAGAAAGCCACCAGCTTTTAAATCTACATATCTTAACTAATATCTTCTTTGACTGGTCACAATCCCTCCAAAAAAGCTGTTTTCTACCGATTTTGATTTCCTTGAGACAGACTTAATCATGCCCTCAAACATCTCAGAATGGCTGGTGTTAAACCCATTAACCTTGGCTGACTCGCTACTTCCTTCAGCATGTTTCTGTGGAATAGATTTTTATCTTTCAAAGTATGCAGCGTATCTTAATTTGATTTAAATTAAATCTCTGAAAAGGTGAACGGATAAGATTCTTCTGTACTCACCAGCCAAAGCAATGATGACAATGAGCAGAATAGTGACCAGGAGGGTGATCACCAGGGGGTATTTTTTATCTGTAATGCACTTCGGGATGAATGCTGAAAAATAAGATGGGTTTGAGAAAATGGTGGTCACAGGAATGAAAAGTACCAGGCCCTCTTTTTAAGAATTCATCAAAGTTTGTTCCTCAAAAGGCAAGATAGGCCTCATTTAGTCCTGCATGAGCTGTTTTTCATGAGAGGCAACCCAAGATATTCCTGAATTCTGTCACAGCTGTTCTCTCAAGGACAGTTCTGGAAACTGTCTCTTTCACCCCACCTCTTTCACCCCACCTACCTCACTGGGTGTCTGTTGTGGGGAGGGGGAGGGGAGGAGTTTGTAAGCTGCTCTGAGACTCTGAGTGGGTGTAAATCCCATTTCTTCTTCTTTTTCTTCTTCATCTCCTCCTCCACAGATTTCACCCAGGAGGGCTGGATTCTCTATTTGTGGATGGCATCTCATGTTCTTTATGTAATGAGTGGTAATGTGGCAAAGGATAAACCACTACAGAGCATTAAGGCATGCACAATGCCATCATACTATGTATCTGGATATAATTTTCTCTCAAAAATTGTCCCTGAGGAAAGAAATTAGGAGCAGGACTGGACACGATGACACAATCTTTTTTCTAGAAGAAGAGGAGGAGGAGGAGGAGGGGGAGATGGGATTTATACCCTGCCCTTCACTCAGAGTCTCAGAGCAGCTTACAAACTCCTTTTCCTTTCCGTTTCCACAACAGACACCCTGTGAGGTAGGTGGGGCTGAGAGAGCTCTTTCGAGAACTGCCCTTAAGAGAACAGCTCCGACAGAACTTTCCCTTAAAAAAAAAATTTCCAGAAAAAGTAAAGAAATAGAGAATAACGTATACAGCGTATACAACAAAGAAAAGTCAACAAACAATAAAACAGAAGTCTGTACTCATTACTTTCGCTTACATTTGTCTAAATAGAATCTATACTGTATACACGTTTCATTTTTTACTTTCCATATTCAGAGCTTTTAGCCTATTTTTAGCATTTCTTAAGATAGTCCTCCAACCATTTATAAATTCTTGACTAGTGCTTTTCGAAGATTTCTTCTTGTTTTTCTTGTAATTGTAAAGTCAGTTTATCCATTTCTGCTGTTTCCAATAATTTATACATTATTTCTCCTTTTGATGGGACTTCTTCCTTTTTCCAATATTTTGCATATAAAATTCTAGACATAGTTATTACATGTATGAGTATCTATGTATCTGGTCTCTTAAATGTCTCTGGTACTATATTTAATAAAAACAGTTCTGGTACAAATGGTACAGTTGAACTAGTATCTTTTGCAATATATTGCAAAAGAACTTTCCCTTGTCCATCTCATTGTGAAGAGAACTGCATGACAGAATGGGACATCCAACAATTGTTTCAATGCAAGATTTCCCCAGAAACTGGGGAGTCCTGAGGCCCTTTCCTAATCTCTCTCTTGAGCAATGGAGGGTGTGTGTGTCTGAACAGGCCCTTCAATCTGCAAAAAAAAAAAATCAAAAAAAAATCTAGCTTCTCTGATTTTGGTTTTCTGATGTTTTATAGTGTGCGTGACATCACCCTGTCTTACCTCAGAACTGATCAGTCTCATAATTCCTGCCCACACAGAGGTCTTTTCTAGACCTGGTGCTGAGATTTTTCTAAACAGAGGTGCCAGGCATTGAATCTGGGACTCTGTACGTGCAAAGCCTCTGCTCTACCGTAAGTCTTTTCTTGAAACAAGTTTAGGAATCCAGGAACAAAATTCAGTTTGACCCAATTAGGGCGAATTCATTTTTTGAAGGCAAAGCTGCAAGCACAGACCTATTGTCTTCATCTACAAACAATAACCAAGAGAAATTTATTTATTTATTTATTTGGATTTATATCCCGCCCTCACCGTAAGCAGGCTCAGGGAGGGTTCCAACAGTATAAAATACAATACAATTAAAACCAGATTAAAAACTACACTAATGTGAACCAGCCTTATACTAAGTCAGACAATTGGTCCATTCAACTGCACAGTATTCTAGCATCTGACTTGAGGTGTACCTCCAGGGTATCAGACAAAAGGTCTTTTCCACTAATTGAGAACCCTGAAGTAGAACTGGCCAGGTCATTTTCCCTGCAAGGCTCTTTAATTAATTAATTTATTTATTTATTACATTTCTATCTCACCCTCCCCACGAACGGGCTCAGGGAGGCTCACAATTAAGGCCATGTTTACTCCTGTTTCTATACAATAAAATCCAGGATTGCCAAACTAGTTTCTAGCAGGTACAGCCCTTTGTGGCATGGCGAAATAGTGGTGGGAAATGTGTTGTTTTGTGAATTTCTGGGTGCAACACAGCTGCCCAAAGCAAAAAAAAACCCTTCCCAGAAAGGAAAAAAAGCCGGCGTCCCATCTAGAATCTATAAAATCTTATAAACAGACACCTCAAATGGTCATAAACAAGGCTCTGATAGCACACAGTGTAGTTCTACTCCTTAAGATAAGCGGGTCTGGCACTTTTGGAGGAAGATTTCAGTATAAACACAACAAAATAAATTATTAGTTTTACCAGCATGTCCTGATTGCTCGGCCCCAGATGTCTTTGGATGCTGAACCATCACTTGGGAGTCTAGGATTTCTCTTTCTGCCCCTATCCGGAAGCAAAAATGGCCAAGAATTATTATGACTAGCCCAGATCCTAAAGGATACAGAGTAGTCATACCCAATATTCCCTCTAAGCTCCACAGCTTATTCCCACAAGCTCACAGCTTGTGAGCAGAAGTTCTACCTCGTGAGCAAAAAAAGCTAGTAGCATTAAAGAGTGAGTCTACATTTGACTATCGCATGAATTAGTGTTTTAGATTACTTTCATAACCTTGTAAGAATCTTAGGATAAATTCTTTTAAATTACATTTAAACTATATTTTAAGAATAATCTAAACATTTATAAGAGAAAACAGAATCAAGTCAAATTTCACCCACCCCTTTACTGGTAGACCATGGCTAGTAGCCATTGATAGACTTATCCTCCATGAATCTATCTCTTTTTTTTAACTTAAATTTTTTATTAAGTTTTTTAAATTTTACAACTTTACTACAAAACTAAAAAAAATATAACTATATAAAAATTTGACAATACAAACATTTTGTTATAACATGAACTTACTCTTTTACATCTTTACAGACTTACTAATAATAATTACCTATTTAAGTTTAATAATACATGACATCAACGTGGTTTTTTTTTTGGTAAAGTATAATTATTATTCCCTGAGGTTGAGATGTAATCAAAAAAGGGAAACCACTTTTCCAAAAAATTATCTTTCAAATAGGGTAGTTCAGATTTTCGGATTTGAATAGCTAGTTTGTCCATTGTGGTTATGTCCCAAAGTTTTATGAACCATTGCTTCATAGAAGGGGTGTTTTTCGATTTCCATGTTTGGGCGATCAAAGTTTTAGCCACTAACAGAAATAGTGCTGCTAATTCAGCCTTCTGTTTGGAATGTAAGAGGTCTGGCCAAAAGTTCAACAAGATTGCTTCAGGTGAGCATCGGATCTTTCAACCAAGAATTTTGTCATTTCAAGGATTTTCGACCAAAAAGACGCTACAAAGGGACAATTCCACCAACAGTGTTTAAACGTTCCCACTGAACCACAACCCTTCCAACATCATGGGTCCATAGCTGAATTTATATGAGACAACCTTAAAGGTAGGGTTGCCAAGTGTACTTACCCTTGGCAGCGGGGGAGCCTTGCTGGGCTCTGGGAGCTCCTCCAGGAAGCGCGCACATGCCACCAGCACGTCACAGGAAGTGACATGCTACGTTGCTCACGTTGGCGGCGTGGCCCAGATTGTCAGGGCCACGCAACGATCTGGGCCACGCCCCCAACGTGAGCAATGTGGCTGCGTCACCTCTGGTGACGCAGCTTCGAGGGGCGGAGTTCCCCCCGGGGCCCGATTCCGCCGCGGCGGAAATCGGGCCTCCAAAGCGGGGGTTTCCCCGCCCCCACTTGGCAGCCCTACTTAAAGGTGTCATGTACCATCGAGCGTATAGTTTGTAGTTTTGCAGTTTTACATTAAGCAAGTTTGTTGAAAAAACTTTTGAGGACCAGATTTGTTGCCATTGGTCTTGGTTCCATATTACACTACAGTCTTTTTGCCATAGGTGGTGTCAGGGTTTTTTTTGTAGAAAAAGCCCAGCAGGAACTCATTAGCATAATAGACCATACCCAGACAGCGCAGCTCATTAGCATATTAGGCCACACACCCATGCCTTTCCTTGGCTTGCTCGGGCGCCCCGCAGCTGTGGGGAGCCCAGACAAGCTGGCCCTTGGACAGACCAGGGAAGGCACGGGGAGGCATTTAAATGCCTCCCCGATCCTTCCAAGGCCCCCCCCGGCCCACCTGCCTCGGAGTCGCTGGGGGTGTGTGTCGCTCTCCAGGCCTTCCCTCTGTAGCCACGCACGCAGAGGTTTTGACTGTAGTGGGCGTGGCAAACTCTGAAGCCAGCCGGAACTCCGTTCCTGTGCGTTCCTGCCCAAAAATAGCCCTGGGTGGTGTATTGATGATGTATGTTCCCAAGATTTTCTACATAATAGTTGATACATCAGTGAAATTATTCCCCTTGAGACTAGAGTTTTATTTTGTATAAGTTTTTCAAATGGAGTAAGAGGTCTATCTAATTGGGAAATGATATTAGGATTGAGCATTAAGTGCTTAATTTGGGAGTATTGGAAGCATGAAATGTTGAAATTACCTTTATTTTCTAGTTGTTGTTTAGTAAGTAGTTTTTGATGTAAACATAAGTCACCAAGTCTAATAATATCTTTTCTCTCAATTTTTCAAAATTAAAAGTTTTAAACCCTGGTATAAACCAAGGTTGCCCCAAAAAAACTGTCAAGGGAGATAGTGCTGGTGCTAATAATGATCTAAACCTATCCCAGAGTTCTAAGGTAAGTTTTAAACAGGAATTAGGTGAAGTTCTAAAAGTTCTTTCTGTGGGTTTGTTCCACATAGATTCATAGAGCATGCCTTGACCCAGGTGATCTTGTTCCATAATAATCCAAGACTTCTCGGATGAAGTTTGAGTGTAATATATTATATTTTTGAGGTGCGCTGCATAATAGTTTTCCAAAATTGGAAGACCAAGAAACCCTTCCCCCTTTTTGTTAGTTTGGTTAGAGTTTCAAAATTAATTCTAGAGCTGTTTATTCCTGTGGCCATCATGACATCCTCTGGCACTGAATTCCACATTTTAATCACTCACTGTGTAAAGTAGTGTTTCCTTTGTAATTCCAGATCTCCAGCCACAACTTGGAGACTGACAACCCTAGCATTAGCAGAAACAATTAAGCTTCTTCCACTCACCTGCCATCCTCTGAGCAGAAAGCAACAGGCCACAACCTGTACAGAAACAAAAAGAAGTTCCATATTACTTATTGCTACATGTAAAAATCCTAGTGATTTCTTATTGTAGAGAAAACTCCGCTTGATTGGCTGAGGGCTCCTTCCCCCCTCCTCGTCTGGGGAGGGAGGGGAAGAAAAAGAGCCAGAGATGGGGGAAATGGCATCTTGCGGGAATTTTAAGAAGTCCTGCAACATTTTATTCCTAGCCAGGTATAAGCTTTTGTGTGCAAGCAAACTTCTTCTTCAGAGAGAGAGAGGGAGAGAGCAAAAGAGATCACACCAGAAAAAGAGAGAGTCCTGTGTTTAAGACAAAAAATGTTTTACTCCAGGTATAACCTTTATGAGCAAGCACACTTCTTCAGAGAGAGAGGGAGGGAGGGGGAGGGCAAGAGCCAGAGAGAACACACCAGAGAGTCCTGTGTTTAAGACCAACAACATTTTATTCCAGATTTTGTGTGCCTGCACACTTCAGAGAGAGAGGGAGGGAGGGAAGGAAAAAGCCAGAAAGAGCATGCCAGAAACAGAGAGAGAGCATCCCATGGCACTTGGAGCAATCCCATTTTCCATTTCTAACAGATGGGGGGGGGCTAACAGCACAGCTTACATTCTTTATTAGTGAAAGGGAGCAAGGGTCTAGCAGCACCTTAATGACTAACAAAATTTGTCGCAGGGCGTGAGCTTTCATGAGTCACTGCTCACTTCTTCAGATACAGCTGGAATGTGAGTTCCTCTGTCCTTATATCTTGGAGAGTGAAGTGATTTCAGATGCCAAATGAAAATAGCAGGCATTGGTAATGAGAGAAGAAAGCTAGGTCTGAATTCAGTCCAGGAGTCTGCATTGTCTTGAGCTTTGTGATCAGTTGCAATTCAGCAGGCTCTCTTTCTAAATCTCCCTTTGAAATTCCTTTGTATAAGAACTGCTACTCTTAGGTCAGCAAGTGAATACCCTGGAAGGTTAAAATGTCACTGGTTTTTGAATGCTGTAGCTTCTAATAGCAGTAGAAAGAGCCCAGTAGTTCCTTTCAAGATTAACAAAATTGTGGTAGGGTATGTGCTTCTGAGAATCACTGCTCACTCCTTCAGACTGATTTCCATTTATTCTTTGCATCCTTCTGGACTGTATCCTCCTGGACCAAATTGAGACCTAGGTTTCCTCTCTCGTTACCGGTGCTGATATCTCCATGCCTTTGTATATCACACCAAATCCAATCACGCCAGCAATTGCCATTCGGCATCTGAAATCATCTTTACAAAGTTTATATCTCTGGTACCTCATGTTACATTTTATGGCACACATGGCCCAGCCCAAAAAAGTGACATTTATGTCAGATCCAGCCTTCATAACAAATGAGTTTGACACCTCTGCTGTAAAGTCTCAAGCCAAGGGCTGCATCCCTGAAGTGACACCTCTGCTTTTTGAATAGAGAGACATCTGCAGCAGCAATGGAGACTGCTAGCAGCCTATGAGCAGCCATGATACTGTTTTGTTTGTGTTTTAAATGAAAGCTTGGAGCTCAGAGGAACTAGGAGACTGTGGCATTAAATCATTTCATTGTCGTAATACCACAGCAAACCTAGCAATTACCCCTTTTAAAAAGACTGAAAACAGATGCCAGGAGGGATTAAGGGAAGGAAAATGGAGCCAGTTTGGATTAGTGCAACATCCAGTCTAGAACACCGGATAACATACTTTGAGGATGCTTTTTCAAAAAAAAGGTTGGACCAAAGCAGGTTTGGGAAAGCGTGTACCAAGGATGGAGAAAGATCAACGGGAGTACAATCAGACCATGATGTCATGTGGATGCTCAAAAGGAAGTGTTGCAGTTTGCTGGCCAAAGTGGAGATAAGCCCCCATGCAGAAACGGCTAAGTCGATCAGGGGGCCTGGAGGGAAAGGCTGAGGGACTTGCGAATGTTCAGTCTGGAGAAGAGGAGGTTGAGGGGGGACATGATGGCTCTCTTGAAATATTTGAAGGGCTGTCAGTTAGAGGAGGGCAGGAAGCTGTTCCTGTTGGCAGCAGAGGACAGGACTCTCAAGAATGGGTTTAAGTTAAGGGCTGGAAGGTACTGGCTGGATATTAGGAAAAACGTTTTTACAGTAAGAGTTGTGCAGTCATGGAATCAGCTGCCTAGGGAGGTGGTGAGTGTTGTGAGAAAAATAAAATAGTTGGTTCAGAAAATTTAAAACCCATTTTATACAGTTAATTTTATAAAGAAATCATAGTGTTTTTCTCTCCTCTATTGCTGTAACTTTCCAAACAGCTAGCAGCACAGTGAACATGATTTCGCAAGGCCTTTGTCTCAAGAGATGTCTTTCCTCCATCGTACACAGGAACCAACATTTGCATTACATTGTTCATGAACCTAAAGAATTTGGAAACATTTAGAAATAAAAGATTGGTATGCACCTGCCATTAAGTCAAGGAAACCAGAATATTTGCAATACTAAAGGCTTGCCTACATGCAGAAACCCACATCACACCTCCAGCCAGCAAACAGTGCCTGACTGTCTGCTCTGAGTCACGGAAACAAAGAACATCCTGAAATTGTAACATTTGTGTTCATTGACATTTAGAGATTTAAATGCTATCTTGCATTGTTTTGCAAAGGAGCATCAGGGTTCCCCATTGCCTCTGGAATGTGGGAACATTTCCTAGGCCATGATGGCCCACATTAACAGAGCAGTTATATTAATTGATGCAGTTTATAATTTCTAAAGCTCTATCGAAATGTATGGGACCAATATGGTATTAAAAAAGGCCAGAAGCTTCATTTCAGGACTGACCCTTGGAGATCCAGAGAAGGCTTTGTCTTTCGTGATCTCTCTGGGCCAGTCCAGAGGCTTCTGTGCATGGGGAAAAATTTTGTTCTGTATATTTGACCACTGACTGTTTACTTTTCTTTTTTGTATTCCTTGCTTGTCTTTAGCTAATAAACAGTTTGATTGTTTAAATAACCTTGTATTGCATTCCAGCTAACTTTCTTTTAACATTCTACCTGCCTTGGTAAGGGGCACTCACCAGACCATTACGAACCTAGAGGTGCAGGTAACACTTTATACAGGGTTAGTTTAGACTGACAAGTACTACAGGTGCATTCTTATGACAGTGAGCTCCCCCTCACTGGCAGTCTTTAAGCAGCAGCTGGACAAACACTTGTCAGGGATGCTCTAGGCTGATCCTGCATTGAGCAGGGGGTCGGACTAGATGGCCTGTATCGCCCCTTCCAACTCTGTGATTCTAAGTTACAGCAAGTATAACAAAATCCTCATAACTTACAAAACTCTCCTATCTTCACAAAATTTCTGTTAAAAAAATACAAGTGATTCCTAGGGCAAAAATATGGGCAAACCGTATGAAGGGATTTTCTAGGTACAGTCTATCACACTGCTGATAGACTGCCTAGAGGGAGTCTCTGGCTGCTCTTGCTCTGGACTTTGCTCTCCCCAGCTCTCCAGCACCACACCTATGCTTGGAGGAAGTAGACCCACGTAGGCATCATCCCCGTGACTGGAAATTCTGCTTTCTGAACATCCCCAATCCCTGGGTGGGAGCTTACATGTGTAGACGTCCTCCGGATGGCCATGCTTACAAGCTGGCAACCATGTGGAGGCAGGGGGAGATCCAGTGAGCTTGTTTCCACTCCCTCTCTACATATGCAAAGGGGTCCATGCATACAGGACTTCTGGCTCAGCATAAAAGAGATTTCTATGTGACCGGCACTTGACCTTGTGCTGGTCGCTGGTGAGAAGAGTACTGTGGTGCTTTTGTACCTTCAAGGTAGTGCTTTGTCTGTGTGGAGGGGAGGCTGAAATCACTGGGGCAAGTTTTGGCTATTTCCATGGGGATATCATATGGGTACATCAACAGCGTCCCGTCCCATGATTGGTTGTTGCTGGTGTTGAGGGGTTTTAATATGTTTAATCTTTAAAGCTGGATTTTACCTTCTATTGTGCTTCTGGGAGCACGTAGAATACATTACACTGAAATGATACTAGGGTCGTTTGCTATCATTATTGGCAGGATGACATGGTTGCTCTACCCATATATCAATATTTAATATTTTAGCTCTTTTGGCAGCTAAAAGGTGTTAAATCATATTGGGCAGGACACGGAATGGTTTAACCTTGGTGGTAGAAAGTGCTGTCAATTCAGCTGGTTTATGGCAACCCAGGGGTCATTTCGTTGAAAAAGAGGTGCAGCTCATTAGCATAACTTATTGGCATAACTTGTTTGCATATGCCACACCCCGACATCACTGGAAGTGTTTCAGAAGGCGACACCCACCACTCAGGCTCCACTGGACTGTTTTGGATTGCTAGCTATGGGGGGGACGGGACGTGCAGATCTGCCCTCACAGAGGAGGGAGAGCTTGTACCTGAAGGCTGGGAGGGGGGCTCTGCTACTTACCTGGCTGCTTCTTGCTCATCGTGGCCCGACTGAGGGCTGCTGGGAGCAGGGGGCGGGGCTTGTTGCATGTGCCCGCCCCCTGGGCTCCTTACTGCCGGAGCTCCGCTCCTGTGCGCTCCCGCAGGATATGACCCCTGTGGCCACCCCTTGGGGTTTTCAAGGCAAGAGACGTTCAGCGGTAGTTTGCCATTGCCTGCCTTTGCGTAGCAACCCTGGACTTCCTTGGTGGCCTCCCATCCAAGTCCTAACCAGGGCCAGCCCTGCTTAGCTTCTGAGATCTAACAACATCAGGCTAGCCTGGGCCACTCAGATCAGAGGCTGCCTTACGGCAAAGCTGACCATTGGGCTATCAAGGTCAGTATTGTCTTCTCTGGTTAGCAGTGGCTTGCCAGAGTCTCAGGCGGAGCACTTTCACTACACCCGGTGTCTGAGTCCTTTAACTGGAGAGGCCAGGGATTGGACCTGGAACCATCTGCACACAAAGTGGATGTTCTCCTACTCAACACCAGCCCCTTCCCTCTTTGCACACATTTCAAAAGCAGGGCCCCCCCATGACAGAAGAGGGGGAGAAGGGAAAGCATTGTTATGT